GAAAAGATGGGCGGAAATATATACCGGTTAGAGATACCCTGTAGAACACCTTGTCGATTACGAGCTTCATGTTCTCTCCACGCCTTATCAAGTCTTTCTTGCCAATGTACAGTAATAGCGCTGTACTCGACGTCGTTCTTGTCGCGCTTGAGGTCTCTGGCGGCGAAAAGTGCTATGTTTTCACCTTGCCGGATCATGGCAGGAAGTCAGCGAAGCACTTAAGGAGGAGAAGAAAAAATTGTTAAGTACAAATCAAGCAACCCCCAACTACCTCTGCCTATGATATGAATTGACTTTCCTTTCCAATGACCTGGTGTACAAATCCATACTAGCCTTGTAGACCTTGAGGTCTCGGACACAAATGTCGAGCTGGTCGGGGTCTAGCACTCCTGCTCCAGTAATCATTTTGTTTCCAATGTCCAAGATTGCTTCTGCCAAGGCAGTGCTCATACGGTCCAGTGCCTCGAGTGAAACATCTATGATCTCCAGCGTATTCGCTGTGGTACCTTTACTACACAAGCGGCACAGTCGGGACCAAATGGCTATCAGGTATTGATGCAGGGATTCGAGCTGCTGAGGGACTTCGTCCAGACCACATGCGCTCGGCAATTTGTACATCGTGAGCGCAGTCTTATACTTGCCGACTCGCCGACGAACCTGGTGGGCGCTGCACATCCTGGTGGGCACGAATACGTCTTTGAGCCAGCAACATAGGCGAGATGGAGACATGATGGTGGTTGAGTGCGTCAGGCAGTACGTTACTTGTCTTTGTGATCGCCCATTCCTGAGCCACCTTATGACCGTGCACAGAACGTAGTAGTCGTTGCAGGAGGCAAAGGAGCGTGGCCACTTTGATTGTTTGCTCAGAATTTGGTAATGCTTGAGGTGTACAAACAAGGAACGTTATACCAATACCTCTTTGTATTCCCGCATATACACCTTTCCTCAGATCATCCAAAAGTTGCACTAGTGACATATTCCGGAAGCATAAACGTGACTGCGGCAACCTGTACCGCATGTAGCAAAACGCAACTAGCTGATAGCTTTTGGAAAGTTTTCTTAACCATGGGCAAAAGACAAGAGAAGATGTCAAGTATAAATCAATTGTTGTATTTCAATTTCAGTTTGAACAAGCAAGTACTCACTTACACTAACCGACTCGTTTGGCTAACCAATGAGCATACGAGTCGATGCTGTCCTTGTCTTCTTTGAGCCCATAAAGAGCTCTAGCCTGCCGCGCACCGTATTCCGCGGCAGGACTAGCGGCGATCGTGTGTTCTATATCCGGTATCATTTCTGCTAGGGTGCTGCTCATGCGTTCGAGGCACTCGAGAGAAATGCGTCTGATTTCATGTGAGTTTTCTGCAATGCCTCGTTTATGCAACAGATACATTTCATCATGGGCCCTCGTGAGATAGTGGTTCAGTTGATGGAGCTTGACGGGAACGCTGGGATCCAGGCAGGCTGAGAAGGGCTTGATGAACCGCTTGAGCCGGAACCTATAGATACCAACATCTAGTCGCACTCTTTCGGCGCTGCGCAGTTGCGTGGGCAACAACGTATCTTTGAGCCAGTACCAGCTTGTGCGGAGTGAAGCCATAATAGATGCTGAGTAGTGCAAAGGGCGTCCGCTCGTCGAGCTACTTGTATTGCGAAGGAGCAGACAGATATACAAGCGCTCACCTCAGTAACACCTTACCCGTCTTTGTGTCTATTGTTCTATAGGCAATGTTCCGTCTACGGTCCAGCATTTGAAGAAGACAAAGCAACAACAACCGCGTATGGCCGCTTTCGGCTTCCACTTTGACAAATCTTGGCACCAGTGACATTTTCTTTGTTTCGCCACTCACCTTCTTGACTTTCAGATCCCACCTCAGTAACGACCTGGATGCGACCAAAATCTAGCCTGTAATATATCTCGCAACATGGCTCCGCCGCTTTGTGCCGCATGCGGCCAAACGCGGGCACAGATTCTGCGGCCGTCGAACCACCAACGCCTGTGCGCCGGATGCTTCACATCGCTCTTCGAGTCCGAGGTCTACGACGTAATATCTTCCCACGCCCTCTTCTCTCGCGGCGAGAAGATCGCCATCGGTGCCAGCGGCGGCAAGGACTCATGCGTTCTCGCCGCAGTACTCCACGCTCTTAACGTTCGGCATGACATGGGACTGGACCTAGTTCTACTCAGTATTGACGAGGGCATCACCGGCTACCGCGACCACAGCCTGGATGCTGTGCGACGTAACGCTGCTGCTCTTGACCTACCGCTGCATATATTGTCTTACCAGGAGCTATATGGCTGGTCTATGGACCAAGTCGTTGCGCAGATTGGAAAGAAGGGAAATTGCACCTACTGCGGCGTGTTTCGGCGGCAAGCACTCGACCGTGGGGCGAGTAGGTTGGGCGTGCGACATGTGGTCACAGGGCATAATGCAGACGACGTTGCGGAAACAGTGCTGATGAACTTGTTGCGGGGCGATGTGGCGAGATTGGGAAGGACGTGCAGTATCGTCACCTCGACGCCGGGAGAAGTGAAGGGCAGTGGCGAAGGCGATGAGGTGCAAATCACCGACGTGAAGCGGAGCAAACCGCTTATGTACGCCTACGAGAAGGAGATTGTGCTTTATGCGCACCACCGGAAACTGGACTACTTTTCTACGGAATGTATCTATTCTCCTGAGGCTTTCCGGGGTAGTGCGAGGACGTTGATCAAGAACCTCGAGCGCATCAGGCCGGAAAGTATCCTCGATATCGTGCGTAGTGGCATCGACATGGCACGTATGGTGCCAGGTGCAGAGGGTGCATGCGCTGGCGCGTGTAAGCCGCAAGGCAAGAACGGGCTGCGGACGACTGTTGGTGTGGATGACGAGGATGAGGGCAATGGTGGATGTGGAAGTGGTGCTGGCGCAGGCACAGGCGGCGAAATGGCAGCGGCTGACGCGAGGATGCGGACGAATGAGCGTGCGGCAGAGCTTGGTCCCGAGGTCGAGATCAAAGTCCCAGCGCGGTTGACGAATGGCGATGCTCATGCGGGCAAGACAGTACCGATCCGGCGGAAGCCAAAGGCTGTTGTCAAGGCGGTGGAGGAGACGCAAGAGAAGAAGCTCGGCAAGTGCGAGCGCTGCGGGTACCTCTCTTCGCAGAAGGTATGCAAGGCGTGCATGTTGCTTGATGGGCTGAACAAGGCAAGACCGAGAACGCCAATTGTGGTTGAACAGCACGGGTGAAGAGATGCGAAAACGCAACTGGAATACCACGCTATCGCCCTTGCGGCGTAAGTCGACCATCCTCCACCACCACAGATCGTGTTCACCGACGACCGATCAACGTCCTGATACTTGCAGTGAACTACGACGTCATTTACCGTCGACGACTGCAAGGCCGAAAGAACAATCCACGCGCAGTGCAGACAACATGTGGCACGTCGTCTCAGGGAAAGTGGTTTCACTAGCCTGACCACCGACTTGCGGAGGAAAGTCACATCGTCGGCAAGGACTGCAGACACGCCGTGCAGCGAGTCCGCATTAGCTAAGAAGCATGGCTATCAATGCGCTCCGCCATGATGCTGCGTGTCGAAAATTGGACCGGTTATTGTATGAGGACTAAAGATCAAGCAAGAGCGACCAGACTCACTGTAAGACCCGAGAAACCTGAAAGAACCACAAATAGAGCAGTCATGCATATCATTTGCTTCCAGTGTCTACATGCCCTTACCCGAACGCCTCGCTGAGAACGACCCATCCACTCCTCAATGCCCATCCACCTCAACCCGCAGCCTCCTTGACCTTGTTCGCCTCCGGCGGCTCATCAATAAATTGCGGCGGCGCTCCCTCCTGCAGGAAGCTCGGCATCTCGCCCTCGCCCAGACCCATCTCCTGCTCAAACCCGACCTCCTCCCCCAGAGCCTCCAACTCGGCATCCAGCTCCGCCTCATCCACCTCCTCCGGCACCTCGTAGCTCCGACTTATGCTCTCCTGGATCTCATTCCCCACATCCATCAGATCCGCCATCTCGTCCTGCAGCCGCTCAATCTTGTCGATATCCACCTTGCCGTACTGCTTCTTCAGCTCCTTTGTGGTAGTCTTGAGAGCGTCCACCGTGGCCATCGTGTTGCGGAGGTTGTCCTGCATCATGCCTGCTTGCTCCATGTTCCAGCTCTGGCTCATGAGTTGGTCTTTCTGCGACTCGTATTGCCGGCGGCGTTCGAGGAGCGCTTTGGCCCGTGAGCGGATCGCGTTCTTGCCGGGCCCGTCGCGCATGCGGGATAGCTTTTGCTGGTAGGTCTGGAGCTCGGCGTTGAGTTTGCTGATGTTCACGTCGATGCTGTCGAGGCGGGTTTGGACGTTGCCGATTGCGTCGTTGAGGGAGGGCTTGGGCGCTGTGTTGCGGGAGCCGAAGAGCCTATTCATGGTGGGCGTAGAAGAGAGGAGAAAGGTGAGGAGAGTCTGGGCTGTTAAAGTCGTCTCTGACCACAGTGAAGAGTGTTGGGTGGTCGAGAGAGACTGAGTATAACGGGAGGTGAATGCAGGAAGCTGGTCCAAGGCAGCTGGATAGCACTCGACGTCGTGGGGCTCCCTGACTTTATGCCCGCCGCACGGTTGGCCATTTGTTACAGCCGTTCCAATCTCAACTTCGCGCCCCAGGCCTGGCGGATTACTTCTTTGCTCAAACCGCAATACATAGTGTTTTCCTCGAATGTCTATACTTCACGTACATTGGCAGAAATGCGGTGCCATGAAATGAAAGAGCAAAATGCAGCCGATCGAGGTTTGTCCGTAGTACAGGCTTGTCCATTTCAGCTCGAGGACTAGAATCTCTCAAGACAACCAGCGATTTTCCGTGCTGAAGCCGTGGGTCTCCACAACATGTATCCGATGATCATAAAATTTTGCCATTTGCAGTGCTCGACCTCAAAAGTGCGTCCACTCGCCCATGTTCGAACGAGCAAGAATTGCAAGACCGGTTCAAAAAGGTAAGGACTCTGCCGTGTAGAGCAAAAATGATTCGAGCCGGGCTTGAACCGGCGACCTTCCGCGTGTTAGGCGGGCGCGCTACCGACTGCGCCATCGAACCGGAAGATCCATTGTGGAATTATGGTCCTTGGCAAGCTTATGGTGAATATATTTCTTGACAGAACCACAAATTAACGATAGGATTGCGGATAGCGCCAGCTCGATCACTACTCAATAGGGTTACCATAGACATTAAGTGCACACATTATGGCTCCCCTGCTCAATTACGACTCTAGCGAGACTCCTTCGGGCTATTACGCGTTTTGTGACCATTGAATTCCACCTCAAAACAACCTCTTCATCGTCGAATTTGCCACACTTCCTGCAAACCCTCGACCCTTGGTATTGAACCAATTCAGTAACTGGAACATGGAGGCTTTGGGAGATCGAGTCAGGGAGGTATAGTCAGTGTACTAGATATTTGTCAGTCCACCTTTGGTTTGTTTTGGAATTACCATGTCTCACCTGCAAGCCAAAGCGAGTACGAGTTCCGCTGTTCCACTCGAAGTTGTCGAAGATGGCCCATGCCCAAGCGCCAGTAACATTGATCCCGTCGTAGACACGAGCTGCAAGAATATTGTCCAGGTAGCTCTGGTAGTAGTCGGCTCGCCTCAGATCCCACAGAGCAAGCGTTGAAGGACTAAAGTCGCTCTCGAATGGCTCCGAGAAGCCGAATTCGGAGACTAGAATCGAGGGAACGGTAGGGAATAGCTGCTTCTTGATGGTGTTGAGGAAAGATCGTATACCATTCGGAGCACTGTAAAGCCAGATTGAACCCGAATCACCAGCAGGACCCTCTGGAAAGCCGTTGCGATTGATCGGAAGGGGATTACCACATTCTGGGAAACCACTGTGTGAGCGATCCTTGGTGCATGCCTCAAAGTCGCCGCCTGCTGAGACGAAGTAGGAGGTGTATCCGTCAATGGCAAAGTAGTCACAAGAATTCTGCACCATATCCTTCTCTTCTGCAGTGAAGTTTGGCAAGAGATCACCTAGTGAGTTCCGGAGACTTGCAGGATAATCTCCACCGTTCCAGATAGGTGCATTAAACCAGCCAAGGGAGTAATCGTACTGGCGCAGAGTAGCCTCCGCATCTTCCTGAGACGACGATGCAGGCTCGTAATAGTTACCAGAGTTCTTGAAAGTCATTCGCTTGGTACCTTTGAACTCGTTTTTGTACCATTTATAGATCTTTGCATGAGCAAGAATGCTATAGTGCCCACAAAGAAATCTTGACTCAAGACCACCACTGATATTGTTGTAGATCGGCCAAAGATTCTTGTTTGGATATGTCGAAAATTGCCAGTTGCAGTATTGAGGCTCGTTGATGGTGAACCAATCACTCACGTACTGATCGTACCGGGAAATGATGAAAGTCGCGTAGTTGAAAAAGTCGTCAACAATTTGACGGTCATTCCAAGCTCCGTACTCGTCAAACAAAGCAAGAGGGGTGTCGAAATGGAGTAGAGTGACGGCAATTCGGATTCCATTTGATACCAGTTCTTGGATTACGTCGTCATAATGAGCAACGCCGGCTTCATTGATCGGACCTTTGCCGAATGGGAAAATACGGGACCAGCTGATACTCGGGCTGAAAGAAGGGATACCCAAGGCCTTGAGTCGGGCAAAGTCTTGCTTGTAGAGATAGTAATGAGAGGCAGTCACATCACCAGTTGTGTTATCCGCAACAAAGTTAGGAGCTCGGTGGGAAAGCAGATCCCAGATCGACGGTCCTTTACCTTCGGCATCTGCAGCGCCCTACATCTTATCAGCATGAGTATGCAAAAGAAAGCAGTCAGCGCACCTCGATTTGATAAGCCGAAGAAGCGACTCCCCACACAAAGTCCTTGGGGAGAGTGGAGTTACTAAGCGATGGGATATATGCAGGGACCAGCGGATGGAGATCGGTGCCTGGAGTGGCATATGGAGTGGCTTCAGGTGTGGGCTTCACCGTGGTGGTGATGGGGCCTGTACTTATGGATCCGACTCGATCCCACAATAGTGCAAGCCGTTCGTTGGAGAAATCCGTTTGGGTCATGTAATTCGACAGCGACTGTGTGTTGACGTAGCTCGTTGACGTGTAGGATGTGGACACCGCCCGAGGTGCCGGGAACGACAAAGTGGTGCTAATGGTGCTGATTGGCACTGTGGCCGTGCCATTGGTTGTACCATTACTTTGCGCGCTTGCAAAGCAGAGGCTGCTGCAGATAGCAGCCACTGATAAAGTGAAGTGACCGTGCATCTTTCGGCGAAGGAAGGCGGCAGTAAGAAATTACTTGAAGTGACCTACCGAGACCAGGTCCAAGGTGACCAAAGTAATAGTACGAGGACTGCTGCTACTTATAGATTTTGCATGGCATGGTTCAGATGCTAGTCGACCATTGTGGATCGAATAGGACGATCGACGAGGATGCGCAGCACGGCAGTGATCACGCTGCGCTGTTTGGGTGGTTGCCCTGGGCAAGTTCGGGGTGCTGACGACAGGGGTCGGGTAAAAGTGATGGCCTATCTGGCTTCCCCGCCCATTTACCCCGCCGCGCTTGTCGATTTCAAGCAAATCGTTGCGCTTGGGCTGCCCATTCTTAAAGCGAAGGTTCAGTCGTGTTGTCCCTTGCTGACTTGATTCTCCGAGAGCTGATTAGGCGGGCGCAAGGTCTGATCCAATGAGGAGTCAAAGACGGCCGGAAATTGGAGAACAACATATTGCAATATTGCCATAAAGACTTGCTGACAGGGCACTGTTAGTTAGAGCTCCAGACCGGCGTCACGGAATTCAAAAGAGACGAAGCTTGTGCTTGACACTTCGAGGCTCAAAAGAACACAAGGCGGATAATTGTGCTTGAAATTGGCATACTGTTTGGGATCGATTAATGTGGTCCTTGTAAGTAATGGCTGAGATTGGCTTCGATAGTTGGTTCGGGGGACTTGGCCCCCTTAGAGTTTGACGCCGGAGAATTGGAATGGTCCCCTCCGTGTGTTTAAAAGCTAGCCACCGGAGCTGTCGTCCGTCTGTTTTCTTGTTGCATCTCGCCACCGATCATTTGATTCCTTTCGAGCCGGAAATGTGAGCCACTCATCGTTAGTTATATGTCGAACAACGAAGAAGCAAATAAAACCTGGTTGGTCATATACGGGTGCATGTAGAGTAAGTCATCAACGTTTACTCTCTTGTCATCATATCTTTAGTGGGTATTGGAGTCTTTCAGTCTTTTGAATAGCACATGCGCGGTAGAGCCCTCCTATGGCGATGCCGAAAATTCGGCGGGAACGACATACATCTTTATTCTGCTTATTGAAGCATCCCATTGCTCAGCGACGAATGATAAGTTGCCACTTCGGCCAGATGGATTGGCACAAAGGTGGTGCTCATCTGGCAATGCATCTTCCTCCCCACAGCTCCACGTCTTCGACATTGGGTGATATCACCCTTGGAATTTCCAAGAAAGATCTTCTCCGTCGCACGACTAGTGCTGAGGTCACTGAACCCATCATCCATTTTGTGTTTCTTACAAGTTCGATAGTCGCGCTTTGCGGGATCACTGTCGAATGAGATGGCGAAGGATTGAAATTGCAGTATTGAGAACAGAAGCAAGAAACTTTGATGCACCAAGAAAAATGCTGGACATGTACATTAAAAAAGTCGGAATCTCAAGAAAATGCAAGCACATCCAGCTCATCTCAACCTCGCATATGCGACAATTGCCCAGCCATGACAACAAAGCTAAGTCTGGTCATGTGGCCGATATACTCAGCGCGGCTAGCGCGGCTGACATGATCCGAGTCCCAAGTGCGTACCTTAACCATCAATGGAGGTATTTACAGTTTAAATGTGACGTGCATGAAGTTATCTATAGTCTTTCTAGGGTTCTCATTTCGAGGATCCTGAGATATAGATATATTAAGGTTAGGGCTACTCCTTGACGACGTCAGATCCGCTTTAAACCCGAGTGGCGCGCCGTACGTTGCAAGCCCCCCGACCCCCCACAAATGGTATAATCTAAAGCACTGGCACTGGGTATGCGTTTGACACAACGATCCCATGTTGTCATGAGAAGTTGCGATCATGGTCCACATGCTGTAACGCCTGGCGTTGGGTTGCGATGCAAACATCCAAGAGGAAGAATGCTGATCATGATGTTTCACCATGAACCAGGTCAGATCAGAACCCGCATCAGATCGGCATGCTGGTGAGATCGAAACGCACTGTCCATCTCGCAAGCACCACAGCCTCAAATTTCCGTGATATGACAGAAGAAGCTCCTTTCTCGCCTTGTTGAAGCGTCCGATGTCTACTCGGTACGATCGAATGTTGTATCACTATTCAATTGGTGGCCGTCTCCATACGTGATGCCGCGAAGCTTGTATGGAAAAGGTCAGCAAATGACATGTGAGTGACGCACCCTGCACCGAGGTCAGGGTCGCACCTTGCGTGTACCTATTTTTGACACTATATTCCCGTGGATCCTGTCTTCACAATTGTCTTACCGCGGGACATGGAGGTCATAACATTATTCCGTTTCGTGGGTCCAGGTATTCCATGGCGCAAACTGCGTCACAATGTAGTAGCTCTTTCATGTTATGTCAGATCAAATTGAAGACGCATTGATGCCATAGACGAGGGTAGCCTGTGAGTGGTATATAATGGTGGGAAATGCTCCACGCAGATATCTACTTCTCCCTCATCTCGCCTTGACTATTCAGTTAAAGGATCCTGGTCTTTCTAGTATCGCACAATCATCAAATCCACCAAAATGCATTCTTCCTCTCTTATCGCTCTCGCAGCAGGACTGCTTGCCGCTGTCAGCGCTTCGCCACTGGTCCGAAGAGACCCATCAAACGAGTCGGGTGGCTCACAAATTGCTCTCTCATGCAACGGCGTCACGCTTCCTGGCCCTGGTACTGGGGACACAGGGGGTTCAGGTGGCGCCTCATATTTCTCCTCTAACCTTGTCTTCTACCCCGACGGCCCCAAAGGTCAAGCAATCTCGCCAAGTGCATGCTACGCACCGGATTCTACTTGCAACAACTGCATTTTCGACTACCCAGGGTTGAGCTCGCCAA